TCCCTCCTGCACATGTGTGTGCGTCTCTAAGTGTAGCATTATGTGTGTGTGAGTGCGTGTGTGTGCGCACATCACCTCCTCCAGGGCAGGGCAGAAACCCCCAGTGTGGGCTCCAGTGAGCCCTTACATGGCCACTGAACACAGACCCTTTGCAGTCACAGGGTCAGAAGCTCGCGCCACACTGCTGTCAGAGCAGATTGGTCAATGAGCAGTCCCCTCTAAAGCAGTCAAGGTGCTTGCAAAGAGGGAATCTGTGTGTTTCTTATGCCATTCATAATCTTAAAAAAAAAATCCAACTTTTTAGCCAGTTAAAAAAAAAAATCTTGAATTTATTTTTTCAGGATTTAATATGAATCGTTTAGGTTTTTAATTTGTCTTAAAGCCTTTTTTAAATCTAATCCTCCCTAAATAGATGTATTATTCCTAGCCACTGTAACTGAATCCCTCACTTCTTCAAAACCTCAACCCCCTGGCCTCCTAGGACTTCATAGTTCATCACTCTTCATTAATGTTTTTTTCCCCGCTTTTTTCCTCTTTTCATAGAAATGTTTTATTTATGTAAGGGGGGTTGCACGGGGCACACTTAAACCATCTCACAGCTGAAAATTACACGTGTAATCTCTCCCAGAGGAACTGCACGGAGAAATAGAAAAACAGTGTGTGAAGTGCATGAAAACAGTGGTAAATCACTCCCTGCCACCTTATCTGGGCCGCTTTACTGTGGGTTCAAGAGCGTTTTATAACTCCACTTAACATGAACGTTGAAGGTGCCAAACACTTGAGTCTTGGGTTACCTTGACATGAATTTTTCGGATTCCTAAAGTGTGTGCTTATACACACATGTCAGAGCCTCAATTGTTTGATTCAAAATAGAACTGGATTTGTTTTACAGGGCGTACAGCCCAAAGCCCTGTGCATGTGCTGTCCACAGAAGGAGACTGAAGCTGAAATATAGTGTCCTCAATTAGCCCTCACTAAGGGAAGATGATTATGAAATGGAGAAGGGCAGATTCTTAACTGTGCTCTGGACCTCCATTAAGATTATTCCTTACATTTCAATCCCAGCAGAAGTGAATGCCTTCCTTTTTATGAGCTTTAAATTGTTGTTTTTTTTCTCTTCAGGTTGCTCATGGTTGCATATGAACCAAACCATGTAGAATATCTCAGCCTCGAACATTTCCTTCAGGAGTGTGTTTTATTTTAGACACTGAAGAAAGTCATTTTCATTTTCCTTTTTTCAAACACGTGTTTTCAAGAAACCCCTTTCTCAAAATGGACACTCTGCTTTTATTCCAACTCTTTTATATCGTATTTGGCACCATCATGTAGCCCATGATAGCCTCTGTGAATAATCTGCGCAGGTCAAGTACAGCGAGGTGTCTATTTACACATTTGAGCTGAATTTGACCCCAGCTCTTATGTGTTAAATCTTGTAGAGGGACGTTTTATCAGTGCGCTGTTTACACTGAGCACCGTAATACGCAGAGTAATCGTGCAGTGATATTGGTAGCGTGTTTATCAACAGGTTCTGGTTTCACCCTGAGATCTGACATATACAGTAGCATTTGAGAGGCGTCCACAGAGCTGACCAGTGGCAGGTGTCTAATCTGTTTGCTCCACAGCTCCAAGTCTCTTCACAAGTCTGCCCCTGCAGCAAATCTCCTGCCAAAACACTGATAACTAAGGATTGTAGTTACAGCAGGCCCGATTGGTTGACAGCCCTTTGAGAGCTGATTTCTTAACACGCTGGACAACATCGTTTAACGACTTTTAGTATCATGTAGTTGACCTCCGATAAACCTGCACATGGCCTCTACAGACACTTGGAGAACTAAATATATGTTTGAGAGCCACAGCAGTCTGACTCCACTTTCTCTTTTGTATTCCACAGTCCACGAAAGTGTCGAAAACAAACGGGAAAAAAACGCTCTTTACGCACTAAACGCACACCTGGATGTCGTGTCTACTTTTGGAGTAAATGTGCAAACATAAAAGGGAATTTTAATTATTTTTCTGTTTTATTCGGTTTTAATTTCAACCCCATTCTACGTCTTATATATAGACTTTATTGTACACTAATTCGATTAATTCCACCGTTCACTTTTTTACACCAAGTCCTGCATGCGTAAAAATTCTCAATTATCAAAATAAAAAAATCAAGTTTGAATAAACTATAAGTCGTGGCTTTCCGCTTTGTGTAAAGTAATTTGCTTATATTTTTCCTCTTTAAAATATATTTACCTCCTGACAATAATAAGAATCATTTTCCACTAAATACCCCGATATCTGCGTCCAAACTCAGCGGCAGCGCAGAGGAAGAGAAGGACACTGACTTTCTCCTTGTTTTCCTTCCCCACTTCTTCTTGCTGTCAGATTATTTTCCCTCATTTTCACACGTGGGAACGGCTTCGCCCCTACTTAGTATTCTCACATTGTAGCAATCTCAACAATGAACCGACACGCCATTCAAGCAGGAGGGGAAGCCAGGGACCGAGTTGTATAAAGTTGCAGAGAGCATCTCTCCTCCGGTAGACTAACACTGCACGTCTCTGATCATGATGATGATGATGATGATGATGATGGGCTGCACGTTTTCCACGGCAGTAGTCTGGATTTCAGTGACTGTCTTAAACAGGATGAAAACTAGAGCAAGTATCAGATTTAGAGCCTATTTTTGATCAATGAGAGGGTGATTCTTGCTGCTCAAACACGGTGTCTACATCGCATTCTCCATCGTTTTTAAGACAAACTGCATAATCTTCATCTATTTATTTTACTACTACCAATAAAAATAGATCATAATTGATTAATTAATTTGAGCATCAATAACGTTTTTTTCTCCTGTCGTGTATTAAACATTGGTACCACACAAAAAAAAAGAAAAAAAAGCAGGTCACATTATAAAATCTTGAGATATTTGGTGTATTTTTCTCTCTCTCTCTAAAAAGAAGTCAAACATGTTGTCACGCCCAACTTCCTGTTTGAAACCGACCCGGTGTCTCAGTCAGTGATCCATTTCCAGACATTTCCCTCCATGTTAAAACCGAGGAAGTTCATAGAACAACAATTGACATTATCAACCGGCTCTACGTTTGCCCTGCACCATTATACCCTCTCATCCCTGCATTAAAAAACACGCACACGCCCACAAACACACACATCAAACCTGAAAACACCTGCCACATAAACGTCTCTGCATTTACGCAGTGCCACACGCATGAATTACAGTGCAAAAATAGTGCGTAAAGGCTATATTATCCCTGTGAAAACATTCCTTCTTCAATCAGACCCGAGAAAAAAAAAACAAACAAAAAAAAAACAACGCAATTTCTAATAAAACTCTAATACTCTCTGAGGGGACATTGCATCGAACAGTCCAACTCCCTCTGGGACCAGCAAAGAAAAAAAAAACATAATTATGCTATTTAACCGGCTGATGTGTCGCAATCACTGCTTCAGCACACTCTGTCAGATTAAAATAGAGGGCCCGAATAGAGGACATTAAGGCTGAGGGAATTAGAGAAACCTCAGGGGAGATCTCAATCTGGAGAAGGGGGAAAGTAAACTATAGAGATTAATGGCAGCCATAAACAAGCGCATGCTGTCCCACTTCAGTGGAGGTCAACAATAACAACATTCATAATAATCATAATAATCGTATTAATAACTAGAATGATTTTTTTTTTAAATAATCACCTTTGTTTCAGCGTCAATTTAAATTCACTGCTCTTAAAAAGACATTAATTTGATTGAATAAACAAATACTAAAATGATTTAAATGTATTTTTATTATTATATGTATTTGTTTAAAATAAAGGCCTGTTTGGTTTTGTGGCCTACAGCTGCTCCAAACCGAGGAGGCTCCAATTTGATAAAAATTTAATTTTATAAAAATACAGATTGAATTATTTTTCTCTTTTTAATACAGTATAATCCCTCTTTTAATTCGTGGTTCAAACTTTGTAAACTCTGCATCAGTATATACAAACACTAAAAGAAAAAACGCCTGCATCATTCATTACTTGTGGGCCATTTCTCTCTCTCTCTCTCCATGTCAGTCCAGTCCGTATATCTTTTTTCATCCACTTGTGAAAGTTGCAATAATCCTCATAATAACTGTGATCATTGTGTGTGCCCCATTGCCTCCACTTCTCTTTAACTAGGCCATTTGATCAGGGATGGGTTTCCGTGACGGATTAACAAAGAGTCCCCCCCCTCCTGAAATTAGGAGCAAGTGTGACACCTACCTGCAGAAGTTGGAAGAGTAAGAGGACAGAGAGAGTCTGCACGGCTGCAGCGGCTGCACACTGCTCTCATATTTGTCTGTCTGTCTCTGCTGTGTGCAGGGAGAAGAGAAAAAAAGCCTCTCCAAACACCACTGTTTCACATCCAACGCGCCATTAAAGAGACTCTCCATTAATGATATATAATAGGGCAGTATGTTCTAAATGCATGGTCGCGTCCCTTTTTAACAGCTTTGCCACGCCTTTTGGAAAATAGTAATGAGGTCTAAATTTGGCATAAAATCGAGCTCATTACCGGAGTTCACCACCTGATTGCTCTGCATAAAACACGGGAGGTAATTGGGTTAAACGACTGCGCCTCGGTGTTATTATATCAATATCCACTTTTAGAAACGTGGTCATGTTAAAGGAAAGAGGAAGGCCCGTGCATTTCAGGTGAAAGAAAGAAAAAACACACTGTGATAAAGCTGGAAATAAAAATGATCTATCCAAAACCAGTCTGTGTAAATATCTGCCCCATGCAACCAAAACGAAACTTTAGAAAAAAAGTGAAAATCTCCCACCCTTCTGCTGAGTCCAGGCCTCAGAACTCCCTCTATACCCTCTCATTCTCAAAACCCTGATTACCGATGAAACATCTGTCACCATGAGAAATTGAATTAATATTTCCTGTGGATTAATTGGCCTTGAAGCACTTAAGACACATCATGTCAGGGAATGCAAACTGCTCCCCAAAATAACCGCTGCACAAGTGTGTATATTTTTTTCTCATAATTTACTTCAAAGATAGTGTGTTGTCCATTTTAAATACAAAAATGCTACATTAAATATACATGTTAGTCTTTCATACAAATAGACTCAGGCGGCTGCAGCGATTAAGACCATTCCCGTTACATTTTTAGGATTAACCATTCAGAACTAAAAATCTGAAGATAAGCATTTACTCAGAAAATAACTGTTCTCAGAATTTGCTTCATCATTGTTCATAGTTTTTCTTTTTCTTTTTTTTTAATGCAACCACAAAAAAATAAATAAAAGTCCGCGGTGAGTTGAAAATAGTCAGGTATTAAATGTTTGACATACCTTTCTTTAGTTCATAAGGGGAGTCTTTACAAAGATCTACCTGCGTTTGGCCTCTGACTTTCTGGCTCTCCCTTACCAAAGCCTCTGCTCTATTTAACACAGTCTGGTTTAATCCATTGAAATGTGCCGTGGAGCCCGTGGTCACCGAGCCGTGGTTACTGTGAAGATGTCCAAAAGTGCCCCCATAGTTCGTGTAGCCGGGGTAGAAAGGGGAGGTGTAGTATAGGGGCCTGGAGAGGACCGTGCTGTTGGGGAGTGGGCACTGTGGGGAGGACCGTGAAGGCGACGCGTTGGTGCCCAGTGCTGCGCTTTGACCCAAACCGGGACAACCCTGTGGCGCGTCTCCGCTGCCTTTACACCTGTCTGAGGACGTGGCGATCTCCGCGAGAGACCAGAGTTTGGGTTTAGGAGCCGAGGGCGGCGAGTGGATAACAGAGGTCACGTTACTGGTCACCGTACCCGGTGCATGGCTCAAATCTGACGGCTTGTCTTGTTGCGCAACGCTCTGGTTCCCTCGAGGCACCGCCGAGGGAGACGACGTGGTCGGTTTCGCGGAATCCGGCAGCAAGTCTGTAGTCCGCTCCTCTTGGTCTTTTAACTCCGAGTCGCTCAGGAGGGGTTCAGTGTCTTTGCCGTGGTTCTCCTCTTTAAATCTGTCACAGCCTATGTCCCCTGGGTTCAGCAGTTTATGATCTAAAGCACAAATAAAGATCAGAATTACTGCCAAATAAGCCAACACTCAAAGCTTGATAAAACACTAACATATGTGAGGCAGTCAAATCGGATGTATAAAAATAATTAGGCCACTTATTCACGTTTCCCTTAAAGCAGTTATTGTATGTGCTATAAATTGTCCTCATAAACATGTGTGCCAGCCTCAAAAGGGTGAATGAACCTCTCTCTACAATTATTGCACGGACTGAGCACGCACTATACTCTGCTTATTCTTATTTACAAATGTATTTCTGGTATTTAATTTCAAAGTAATAATAAATATTCAGCAGCCGCTCCAATAATTACCATACAAAGGCCATATTTTGAGTGTGCCGGTGCAGTACACCAGCTGTATCCTTATTATGCAGTTAAAGATAAATTGACTGCTAAACACTTTGCGTCACCAGCAATTTCAGCCCCTGAGAAGTCAAACGAGGGGAGTTCAAGGTGATTATTATTTAAAGCAATTGTCCCATTATAAATAATATACCACCATTAACCAGCAATCAATTTTGCACCCTGAGTGGAAACGACTGCGATGAAAAATTGATGATTTTTTTTTTCTCCTTTTCTTTCCCTGCAACACCGACCTGCTTCTGTGTCTGTGGAGTCTCCCTTGTCTGTGGGCTTGTTTGGCTCGTCGTCGTCGTTTTTCTCCAGATCGATATTCTCGTCCTCCTCCTCGTCTTCGCTCCGGTTCCGGGGTGTCCAGGTCATCTTGTTCTCCTTCTTTAGCCTCCTCCTGGCGTTGGCGAACCAGGTGGACACCTGGGTGAGGGTCATTTTGGTGATGATGGCCAGCATGATCTTCTCGCCCTTGGTGGGGTAAGGATTTTTGCGGTGCTCGTTGAGCCAGGCCTTCAGGGTGGCGGTGGCGTCCCGGGTTGCGTTTTTACGGTATGCCGGGTCGCCATAAGGGTAGGTGCCCAAGGGTGCTGCGTAAGGATGGTAACCTATCGAGCCGGCCATCCCCGTGGTGTGGTCATAGGGAGAACTCTGCGGAAATAAAAACATTCAAATGAAAAAGTGAGTAAAAGTTTTGACATCTGCAGTTTCCAAAGTGGTACATAATGGTAGAAGGGACATAAACAAGGACACATAGACGCACACGCGCACATGCATGCACGTGCATGTGGGCACTTGCACACGCTTGCTCACACACGCCACTGTATACAAAACAATGGCTCCAATAAAATAGTTGAAGCTCGAACAAATGTTCATGAACTTTGATTCACCTTCACAGCCGATCAGAAATATTTACATGAATTCTAGAAATTATAACTAACATGGTGTCATTTTTCTGAGACAGTCGTCCCCACAATAAAATAGTACAATTTGCCACCATGATAACTTACTGACATGATAAAATGCGGACTTGACATCAAACGATTTTTCTATTTTTCTACCATCACTCTGTGTACTAAATGGGCCTGTAAAAAACAGTTTGCATGGATTTCTTGTGTTGCCATTTGATCACAGCTCGAAAATCTATAAAAATTAAAATCACAATTTCCAACATGACTTTTCTCAGAGGTTGCAAATTTCAAGTTTTTAAAACTGGCATAACCAGGATGATCAGAAAGAAATCCGGTGACCTAAATTGCCTTCAAACGGCGCGTTGCACTTGGTTATACGCGTAGGAGCTCCAGCAAGGCTTTGCCCACACTTTCTTTTAAAAACTACAATTTACTAAAGAGCCATATAATATCACAGCACTCAGTTAAATTAGTACTGTTTACTCAACAACGTGTTCAGTGGACCAGGCTTTCTGTAACATATCCCTGCAGTGACGCACATTTCCCTCTTAATGACTTGGCAAAGAAAGCACAGCGGGCACTTCTATAACGAGTTAATATCCCCGCTTTTAATTCCTATTAGGTTGAATAATCACCTTTAGTTTACTCACCACGTACGAGGTGAATGTGGCCGCTGCAGCCGCGTCCGCACTGTACGGTAAGTGGGAGTTGTAGCCTGGCGAGGCGCTGGTGAACGCAGTAGATCCGGCATAGGGCGCAAAAGCAGATCCCGAAGAGGATCTTCCAAGTTCCTCGGTTCGGGGTCCCGATATGACGCTGGTGCTGTACGCTGGGCACGAGTACAGGGCTAGAGAAGCGGATGGCTGATACAAGTAGCCCTGAGGATACGCCATGCTGGAGCCCGGAGAGTGTGAGCCACTTAACTTGCGCACTTTCCCACCTTTATTTTCTCATGCGCTGCTGCCGGAGCGCATAGAGCCGTGTGTGTGTGCAGACCCACTGTCTGTCCCTCTTTCTAATTGTCAGAACTGAAGGCAAAAAGTAAAAGTGATAAAATAAAAGAGAGGGAAGAGATGTTAGATGAGTTTTTTTTTTCTGCTTGCTGCCAGCCAGCCAGTCACTGCCCGTCGGATGTTTTGTCTCGTTTTGTTTTTCTCTCGCTCCCTTATCTGAGTTGCACCGTCGCTCTCATGCCCGCGCAGAAGTTTTTTTTTACCCGTCGGACGGGGGCTTTGCTTGGGAAAATGTCCTGCCAAGATGCTAAGTTGAAAAATTGAGGATCCTGACGCCTTCTACGCTCCTCCTCTCGGGGTGTAGTCACCGAAGGAAAAGGCGAGCTTATGCTGGGTAACCACAGCCCTGCCCAAATCCATGCTCTCTCTCTCTCTCTCTCTCTCTCTCTCTCTCTCTCTGTCTGCCCCCTTTCACTCCCTCACTCTCTTACTCTCTCTGTCTCCCTCACCCCCCTCCCTCTTTCTCGCGTTAACTAACAATCCTCATTCTCTATTTCTCTATTTTTTTTCCTCTCTAACAAGCCTCGTTGCAGTAAGTCTCAAGTGCGCCTGGCAGCCCCCCTTTGGATGGCGACATCATGCGAGTCTGTCAACTCCCAACTCTTCCTTTTTTTTTTTCCTCCAAATACGAAGCCGTCACTTTCACACTTGATCAATAACAAATCGGCTGTTGTATGCCAGGATATGGGCTTGCAAGATACCGGCAGGAATTAAACAGGCGCTCCACTGCTGTGCTCTCTTTTTTGTGTTTCTTTCTTTGAGCGTAAAAAAGTCGTCATTTTAAGTACGTGCCATAAATCAACAGAATGACGCTCCGTGATCTCCGTGCGCCTCGTGTTAAAATCCGCAGTGGGAGTTTTCAAACGGATTACTACGGTTGTGCACGTCGACTTTCTAACACCCATCGGTAAGAAATGACAGCTGGAAAGTGAGAGTGAACAAAAAAAAAATGGCGCAAATCGGCCACCAGAGTAGTTTCATGCACGTAAAATAAACTTCGCTTGATCAATATTTACATGTTGTGATTGTTGAACTGTGTTTTGTCCGCGCAGTCACGTGTGTTTGATCGATTTACTGCGGCGGCGGAGGCGGCTAAATAGTTTTTGCTACAGATCCTGGCATAAAGCAGTCAGACACACACTCGCTCCCAGAAAGTCATAAACCCTCAAGCCAGGGCAGATTAGTGCCAACTACACCAAATCCGCCTGGACCACAGGATGTAATCTCATTTGATCACTGCAGATATGTTTCAGAGCTGAAATATCGGATAGCCCAGATCTACTTAATATGGCACAGTTATCGCAAATTACCCTTTTATATTTAATCTGACACATCTTTATAGTCTGCTATGGAGAAAATATTATTATTATTATTATTATTATTATTATTATTATTATTATTATTATTATTATTATTATTTATGTGTATATTTTTCGGATGCAAATTTGTCGAACATAAAATAAATAATTCTGCTGGTTTTAATATTTTTTTTGTCCCTAAGCCGGATAGATCAGCGAGCCTTTTTCATTCTGGTGATTGACTTTCCAGTTCAAGTCTCAGATAAGCCGAAAGGGATCGCTGTAGGCGCTGCTAAAGAGTGTGTGCACACACTGTCACGTGTTTTTTTTACGCTCTGAAAACCTCTAGAGAGCAAAGAGTGATGACGCTGGTACAGTGGGAGCCGACGCACACTTTGGAGGAGAGAGAGAGAGAGAGAGAGAGAGAAAGAGAGAGAGAGAAATAAAGAAAGAAGGATGGATACACAAAGCGACCCTACAGTGTAGCCTAATCAGATGACAGTGATACGATGAGAGTCATTTTCACAGCCTCCTGTAGTGTTCAGACAATCAAGTCATTACCGGAACTTTTCTCCCAACACCAGCTACAAGAGGAACCAAGTGAATCCGCTGGTACTGACAATTATCCTCCTTAGTTATGTCACGTTAAAGCTTGAAAGAAAAAAAGCGTGATAATTCGTCATTATTCTGCTTACAGTGAAATTATTGTCCGTCATGTTTACGCAGACGTTTCACACTCATAAAACACCTTCTGCTGCGTGGTTTTGAGAGAGAGAAAAAATAGTGACTCTATGTTTATTTAATAAACAAGCGAGAGGAAAAGTTTTAAGGGCAGAGAGCCCGTGTTGAAGGTTTTGTGTCAGGCGTCCTCTCTAAAGCGTTTTGGTTCAGAGTGACTCGAAAAGTAGGAGGAGGACGCATAATTTAAGATCACAGAGCCTATAATAGGAGTAGGTCACGGAAACTGCGTCCACCTCTCAGCACCGCACTGATTAAGAAGGGGGGTCGGTGAGTATAGTTTTGCTCATTTTGTGTAAAGATGATGAGTGGTTTGAAGGTGCGTTTAAACGTCCAAAAAAGCGTCTAACTTTATCGTTGTCTCTCCGTTAGTGATCGTTATTCTAGCTTCAATTCACGCTTGGTTTTACGCATGGAAACGGCTTTACGTGGCGGTGAGAAATAAGTGAATGAAAGATGATGCATGCCACTTAAAATGCCCGAGGGAGCAAGTGTAATCTAAATTGGATATAGAGGGTATTATTACACAACATCCTGCGTTGTGGAGGACTAATTGCGCGGCTGGGCGAGTTAAAGAGTGAGTTAATGTGGAGTTGCGGACAGGTTTCAGGTGCGCACAAGGTCAGCTGTACTGCTCCCAAGCCTGTCGTGGTACACAGAGAAAAAAAAAAGAAGCTTGAAGTATTCATGGGATTTTTAACCATTCTAAATCTGTGTCCTAAACCGATTAGTTGACACCAATTTTTCTTTGATGTATTAGCTGAGGGCTTTTGCCACTTGGAAGCCAATTGAAATTCAAAACAGTTTTCACTCCAAATGCTTTGGGGAGATCTGCTGCAAATAATGGATGTAATTTATTTTTGACCTTGCATTTTTTTCCCTTTTTTTTCTGAGGAAGGGGTTATTAAATGATTAAACATATGTGCACTGTGCTACTTGACCAAACAACTGGCATTCTGTTCAGCTTTGATTAGCTCCTATTTGACTCTAAAAATAATTTGAAGTATTATATTAATATATTTTTAAAAAGTGACGGGCATTTTAGGGATTGTTACCACAGTTTCATGTTATCTAACACATTATTACACTGTAGTTTTTTCTGTCTTTTTTTTTTTTGGTGGAATAAATAATAATTGACTTTTTATCTTTGTTTTGAATTTGTTTAGATCCATGATAAAGAGGTCTTCCCGAAGCAGTCAGTGAAATGCACTTCCTCTAACAAACACATGCTCATTCACAAACGCATACACACAATCATGTGCACTCTCCTGGAGAAACAATAAAGTAATAAAATCTACCTTTTGAGAAAATAATTATTGGAAATGTATATACTTTTAATGCAGCTACTGGTGTTTTTTTCTGTTTCAAATAATTTTAACTACTGTTTTCTCTTTTAGGAGCCATATTGTTGCTGCACTTTTATCATTGCTTGCAAAGAAGTTAATCTCATAAACAGCACAATTGTTCTCATGTGTGCTTATAAAGATTTTGTATTGTTTTTGAAAATTAGACAATATCCTGTTGCCAGTCTGGCTTTCGGAAGGCAGAATCTATTTTCTGTTCTCTGTTATTGTGGTCTCTTTTTCTTTTATTGACCTGAATGAAGATGCACAGAGTATGAGTGTGTGTGTGTGTGTTCAGTTTACTCCTGATGGGCCCTGTCTCCCCTCCCTTCTCCATACTCTCCCCATGATCCCTGCCAGGCTGAGTGGCAGGGCTCTGGATGGGCTAAGTGATGAAATGATGACCCTATTATGAGAAGCGATTCCAAAATGAGAGGTATCAGACAAAGATTGCAGCCTTCTCTCAGTGCCTCGCCAGCCCCCTGCACCACACTGGCAGCTGTGCAGATGATGATTGATTTGCTCGGGATGGATCACAGGAAGCAGCCATTGATTTTTCAGTGTTTTATCAAAAAATATTTATTCACAGTTGTATCCATAGGCTGCATTTGGACTCACCCCACATCCCCTTTCTCTAAATGGGGGATGGTATAAAAGGGATAATTCTCCCTACTCCATGACAAGACAAATGGCCTGTAATATTATTTCAGAATTGAGTCAATAGGCTCAGTGACTAAACGAATATTGATTGGATATAATGAAGCCTGAGTGTGACTATGAGCTCTTGGCTGCAGACTCCACTGTCAGCACCTACACAGTGATTCCAGGCCTTTCCCAGCTGAGTGTTTTACCCACAATACATCCCTCCTTCTTCATCAGCTGGGACAAAATAAGCCTCATGTTGGCGAATATCACAGATGGTGAATCCACGTACTCAACATTCCCTTATTCCTCTCACTGGTGTGTACATGTATGTTTTGATTCATGATCTGAGAGCTTCTGTGCCTAACTAGCATGTTTGTTTTGAAGGTGCTATAGGTGCCTGCCATATGGTAATCATCTAAAATCCTGTACTACTTAAAGCTCTCGAGGTATGTAGGAGGGACTGCTGCAATGCCTTCATGAAGGTAAAGTGATACAACGAACAAATCAAATGACTAGCAGAATGCTAAAACCACAGTGTGGGAGCTCTGCCCCAGATATTTGCACTGACTTAATCCAATTGAAATAGTATGAGTGAGTTGCAGGGGGCTCCCAGGTCTGTTGCTTGCTTATGTATGTGATGCATAATAGAAGTTGACGAGGTTGGTGATAGATCACAGCCCAGGTAATGTAAACACATTAATCCCTCAGGGTTCATGTGCATGTTCTATCTCTCTTTTTCTCTTTCTCATTCTATCAGACTCTCCCCTTTCTCTCGCTCTCTCTCTTTCTTTGAGCCCCCCCCTCTTCTCCCTCCCCTCCCCTCCATGTTCATCATCTTCCCTAAATGCGTTAGTGGAGCACAAACCAGAAGCAGCCTTAATCTGTCAACATGCCCTTTAATTGGAGGGAGAAAACAACACGTGCTTCTGGTTGTGCCATTCCTAAGTGCACATGCCAAAGAAACACAGAGTTCACGGAAGAAGTGATCCCGGGAGAGTGGGGCATAATTAAAAGTATCTTTTAATAGGCTTGTAATGCTGAGCCTGACTCTTGTTGCCTTAAGTAGAGGGCAAACTCTGTGGCTGGAGACGGACATGTGAGGGGCTTCTGCTGAGGGAGCCTGTAAGCGATATGTTGCCTGGCCCGTCATCAGACATGCAGTCTCTGTGTCAGTCACCACACACACTACAACAACCACTTTCCTCTCCTGCCGCGGACACCTCGGCTCACCCATCCCCGTGTTCTTTTGTTCCCCAAATGAGGGATTCTCCTCCACAACATCACCTCTCCTCCTGGGCCACTTTGGCAACTTGTGTTCTACCTCCTACTCACCGCAGCGAGAAATGGGACCAAGGGGTTGATTTGGGGCCTGCTCCACTGTAATCAAATGAGACTGCTTAGGGGAGAAGAGGAGGAGGAGGTG